TTTGACCAGCTTCAGGGCGCACAGGTGTTTTCTAAGATTTATTTGCGCTCAGGTTACCATCAGTTGAAGATTTGGGAGCCAGATATCCCGAAGACTGCTTTCAGGACTTGGTATGGTCATTACGAGTTCCTTGTTATGTCATTTGGGCTGACCAATGCCCCAGCAGTCTTTATGCATTTGATGTACAGTGTGTTCCGGCCGTATCTTGACTCATTCGTCGTTGTCTTTATTGATGATATTCTGGTGTATTCCCGGAGTCTGGAAGATCATGAGCAGCACCTGAGGACTGTGATTCATACTCTGAGAGAGAAGAAGTTATATGCTAAGTTCTCGAAATGTGAGTTTTGGTTGGATTCAATGGCATTTTTAGGCCACTTGGTATCGAGTGAGGGTATTCAGGTGGATCCGAAGAAGATAGAGGTCGTGCAGTGTTGGCCCAGACCATCCTCAGCTACAGAGATCCACAGTTTCCTTGGTTTGGCGGGTTACTACCGTCATTTTATGGAGGGGTTTTCGTCGATTGCAGCCCCTATGACCAGGTTGACCCAGAAAGGTGCTCTATTTCAGTGGATGGAAGAGTGTAAGGCGAGCTTTCAGAAGCCCAAGACAGCTTTGACCACAACCTCAATTTTGATACTACCTACAGGTTTGGGGTCTTATACGGTCTATTGTGATGCCTCGAGGGTTGGTCTCAGAGCGGTGTTGATGTAGGACTGTAGGGTGATTGCCTACTCGTCCAGACAGTTGAAGATACATGAGAAGAACTACCTTGTTTACGACGTTGAGTTAGCTGCCATTATTCACGCCGTGAAGATTTGGCACTATTATTTATACTGGGTTCCTTATGAGATTTATACTGACCATCGGAGCTTGCAGCACTTGTTCAAGCAAAAGTATCTAAATTTGCGCTAGAGGAGGTGGTTAGAGTTGCTAAATGGCTATGATATCACTATTTTGTATTACTCGGGCAAGGCTATTGTGGTGGCCGATTCTTTGAGTTGCCGGGCAGAGAGTTTGGGGAGTTTGGCTTATTTACCAGCATCAGAGAGGCCTATGGCGATGGATGTTTAGGCCTTAGCCAGCCAGTTTGTGAGATTGAATCTTTCGAAGCCCAGTCGGGTTCTAGCTTGCGTGGTTTCTCGGTTGTCTTTATTTGATCGTATCAGGGAGCGGCAGTATGATGACCCTCATTTTTTTGTCCTCAAGGACAAGATTTAGCATAGTGATGCTAGAAAGGTGACTATTGGTGATGATTGGGTATTGAGGATGTAGGGTCGGATTTGTGTACCCAATATTGATGAGCTTCGAGAGTCGATTTTAGAAGAGGCCCGTATCTCGTGGTATTCCAATTATCTGGGTGCCACGAAGATGTATCAGGATTTGAGACAGCACTATTGGTGGAGGTGGATGAAGAAAGATATAGTTGGATTCGTAGCTCGGTGTCTCAACTGTCAGCAGGTAAAGTATGAGCACTAGAGACCGGGTGGGTTGCTTTAGCAGATAAAGATTCCAGAGTGGAAGTGGGAGCGGATCACCATGGACTTTGTAGTTGGGCTCCCATGGATGTTGAGGAAGTTTGATGCTATTTGGGTAATTGTGGATCGGCTGACCAAGTCCGCTCACTTTATTTTTGTGTGTATTACTTATTCTTCGGAGCGGTTGGCAGAGATTTATATTTGGGAGATTGTTCGTCTGCATGGTATTCCGGTTTCCATCATTTCAGATAGAGGTACCTAGTTCACATCACGGTTTTGGAGAGTTGTTCAGCATGAGTTAGGTACTCGGGTAGAGTTGAGTACAACATTTCACCCTCAGACAGATGGATAGTCCGAGCACACTATTCAGATTCTTGAGGATATGCTCCGTGCGTGTGTGATTGAGTTTGGAGGGTCTTGGGATCAGTTTTTGCCATTGGCGGAGTTTGCTTACAACAATAGCTATCAGTCCAGCATTCAGATGGCACTTATGCGGCTTTATATGGTAGGCAGTGTAGATCTCTGGTAGGTTGGTTTGAGCCGGGTGAGGCTAGACTATTGGGCACAGATTTGGTTCAGGATGTTTTGGAGAAGGTTAAGGTGATTCAGGATAGAATCCGTACAACCCAGTCCATACAGAAGAGCTATACATACCGAAAGGTTCGTGATGTTTCCTATATGGTTGGAGAGCGGGTTCTGCTTCGGGTTGCGCCTATAAAGGGCATTATGAGATTCGGTTAGAAAGGGAAGTTGAGTCCGAGGTTTATTGGCCCTTTTGAGATATTGAGGCATGTTGGGGAGGTTGCTTATGAGCTTGCCTTACCTCCCAGCTTGACAGGAGTTCATCCGGTATTTCATGTTTCGATGCTTCGGAGGTATCACGGCGATCTGTCGCATGTGTTGGATTTCAGTTCAGTCCAGCTGGACAAGGATCTATCTTATATTGAGGAGCCAGTGGCAATATTGGACATACATGTTAAAAAGTTGAGGTCAAACCAATGGCGGGGTCTGCAGGTCAAGGAGGCGACCTGGGAGACCGAGCAGGATATGTGTAGTCGTTACCCTCATCTTTCACTACTTCAGGTATGTCTTTATACTCGTTCGAGGACGAATGAATGTTTAAGTGTAAGAGGATGGGATGAACCGGCAGGTCGTCTTAAGAATTAATGCCCGATCCCCTATTAATTGCTTTTCCCAAGTTTATTTCTGCTATTTTGATTTGCCAGGATGTTCGGTTTTGACTTTCGGAGAGTTTTGAGAAACTTAGTTCCTAAAAGAGAGCTTAAGCGTTGGAAAGTTTACCATAGTTATAACAGTGAGAAGACGGCCTCGGAATGGAAATTCGATGGATCCGTTAGTTCCGTTGGGTGATTTTGTGGGTTAGAAGCATGTTCGGAGTGTGTTTTGGAGGTCCGTAGCTAATTTAGGTTTGAAATGGCGGAAGTTGAATATTTTAAGTTTCCGATTCGATAGTGAGATTTTGATCCTAGGGTCAAAATGGAATTTCGAGAGTTGTAGTAGTTCTATATGTCATTTGGGATGTGTGTGCAAAATTTCAGGTCATTCGGAGGTGGTTTGATTGGGTTTTTGATCAAAAGCGTAATTCGGAAGATTTTGGAAAACTTAGGCTTGAATCTGATGTGTTTTGGTTGATTTGATGTCGTTTGAGGTGTTTTCAAGATTGGTAAAGGTTTGAGTTTTAGGATATGTTGATGCATTTAGTTGAGGTCCCGGGGCCTCGAGTGTGTTTCGAATCTCGACGAATCATTTTTAGTTGTTAAAAAGTTGCAGAATTGTAGGTTTAGCTTTTGCAGATATTTACTCTTCGCGTTCGCGAGGAAGACTCCGCGTTCGCGAATGGCTGGAAACTTGTGAACCGCATTCGCGATTGGGCTTCGCGTAGGAGGAAAATTGGCCTAGTAGAATTTACTCATCGCATTCGCGATGAGAGGAATGCGTTCGCGAAAGTTCGTTTGTGCAAGGCATCGCGTTCGCGGAGTGAGGGACGCGTTCGCGAAGAAGGAAAAATGGTCAAAGTTATTTTATGCTTCGCGAATGCGAGGCTTTTACCGCGTTCGCGAAGAAGGAATTTTCTGGGCAGATATAAGATTTCAAAATCGAGGGTTTAGCCATTTTTATCAAAACTTAAGCTTGGGAGCTCGGATTTGAGCGAGATTTTGAGGGATTTTCAGAGGTATCGATTGGGTAACGATTCTTAACTCATTTATTCTTATAACCCATTAATCTAAACATGAATTCATCCTTTAATTTCAGAATTTGTATGAAAATTTGGGAAAAGTTCTTAGGCCAAGAAATTGAGTTTTAGTTGGGGATTTGACATCAAATTTGGATAATTTTGGTATGGTTAGACTCGTGAGAGTGTGAGGATTTTGAAACTATAAATTTTACCCGATTCCGAGACACGGGCCTGAGGGGCGTTTTGTCATTTCACATAATATTGTGTATTAGCTTAGAATTTAATTGTAGAATCAGTTACTTGAAGTGTTATTTACATTATACAATTGAAATGAATAGATTTGGGCCATTTGGAGTCGAGTACTCGTGGAAAAGACGTGGTGTTGGGTTGATTTTGAGTCGGTTCGAGGTAAGTGGCTTGTTTAACCTTGTGCGGGGGACCTTCCCCTTAGGATATGATATATTTGGTAATTGAAATGCCTTGTACGTGAGGTGACGAGTGCGTACGTGAACTAATTGTTGAAAACCCGATTTTACTTTAAGTATTTCAATTGAGTACCTTTTTCTTGCTTTATTCTACTTGCGAATTTAACCTGTTGTAGTTAAGAAAAGCATGTTTAGTTGATTTAATTGTTTATTTGCTTAAATTGCCTTAATTGCATTGTGTGAAGTATGTTAGCCTAGAATTAACTATTTACTTGGTACAAAATTTTGCATTTAATTGAGTATTCTTGTATTGCTTCTATGTATTTTTAATTTGGGACTACGAGACGGCATCCCAGGAGATCCTCTGTACGTATTTATGATTTGGACTGAGGTGCGGGATACCATGAGATCCCTGGCACGTTTATTGAGGATACCAAAAGATCCTTGGGATACCAAGATATCCCTAGCATATATTGAGGATATTGAGAGATCCTCGGGATACCAAGAGATCCCTAGTATATATTGAGGATACCGAGAGATTCTCGGGATACCAAGAGATCCCTAGTATATATTGAGGATACCGAGAGATTCTCGGGATACCAAGAGATCCCTGGCATATATTGAGGGTACTAAGATATCCTCCTGATACTGTGAGATCCCCGGTTACTTCCTTGTGGTTTCCCTTCATCTTTGTTTCCATTATTGTACTCTTATTATCCTGTGTATATTCTTACTGTAGATTTTCAATTGTACTGCTTATCTTATCCTGTCATCTTTATATTTATTTAATCTTAGTAGGGCCTTGACCTTCCTCGTCACTACCCAATCGAGGTTAGGCTTGGCACTTACTGAGTACCGCTGTGGTGTACTCATGCCTCTTCTTCGCATGTTTTTCATGTGCAGATCCAGGTACCGCTGATCAGGTCTACTATCCTTGAGGGAGGCGACCTCTCTAGAGACTTCAAGGTACATCTGCCGCGTCCGCAGACCGAGAAGTCCCTTTCTATTCCTTCTTTTAGTATTTAGCCGTTTTGTACCTTCCTGTTCTTATTAGACATTCCGGAGTTCGAGCTATGTAGTATTGATCTTAGATTATGTTTCATGGATTTCCAGGTCTTGGATTTGTGTTTGGTATTGAGAGTTAAACATGGTATTTTCCGAACGACACATTTAAACACTATTACTGCTTTACTTCTGTTTTAAATTATTTACTTCCGCAAATTTTGGTTCTTCTTCCGCAAATTAGGCTTACCTAATCGTAGAGACTAGGTGTCATCACGATGGTTCACGGGGGCGAACTGGGGTCGTGACAAAATCCTAAACCTGATAGCATTCGAATGTCAATTTCTTTTATATAGAAAAAGCAATAGATTTGGGTGAAGCTCTAGTCCTCTATCTGGTCTAGATGACAAATAGACAGTCAAAATTCATAGGCTGAAGCTCGGTAAGCTTTTTCTATTAGATTTAGTGTTGTTAATTCTATTTATTCATAGCAAAACGATTTCCAATATCAGGCTAAGAATTGCTAGGTGTTCCACAAGAAGACATCACTCATTGAGGCTCCACCTTTCTTGCCTTCTCTGGTGAGTGACAATTGAGTTTTCTCCTTTTGCTTTATTGTCATAAATTTTGGCTACTGGATGTGATATGTCTTCTGCTTTGAGTGGATTCAATTGTAAAGTAGTCCCTTCGATCGACTTGCAAGGGAAAATAGAAAGTGAAAATAAGCAAATAGGGGTATTGAAGTTGGTATTAATGTGTTGCAATTATTGTGTTCGAGGAATTACATGTAATAACAAATGTGTTGTTGCACTATTCAAATTTTCAGCATTTTATTAGGATGCTTTCTTGTTGCATGTTCTAATCCCGTCTAAAAAAAAATTTTGGGGTCAGATTTTTCATAATTTTCATCTGCTTGAGAGTAAATCACGAAAGTTAGATACTTGCTCTAATTCTATGTAGTACTGATGCTTTTTGCTAATTTTCGCTAATCTGGGCCATATAATGAGATTGGTCGATTTTTGGTGAAAATGAAAATCTTTCTACTCCAATCCTGTTTTAGAAAACAATGCAGTTAGATCGCTAGAAGGCAATATGGTGAAAAACCTACCTTAAAAGTAGCTTGTTGTAGTTGGAATAGCCTATGGAGTAACTTTGACATGTTGCTAATGTTTTGTTGCACTATTCAAATTCTCTGCTTATTGAATATTGAATGCATGTGGTTAGTTTTCTGCTAATGGTTATGTACGTGTAAAAGGAAAATATTGGGTAAAGTTTTTATATTTACTTCAATATGTGATACTATTTATGATTGTATAATAACTGGGGTTTTGACTTCAGGTTCATATAGTAGTCTGTTTTGGGTATATCAGGAAACTTAACAAGATAGAATTTTTGAATGGTGCCTGTGTATGTAAAAGAGATCTACTATTTGCTTTGACTTTTCTTCTCAGCTAACAGTTACTCCATACTTTTATTTATTTTAGGTTGACATGAATCCATCAAAGTCTGAAATGGGAGCAACTTCAAAGAATGTACATCATGCATATATTCAACCTGGTGCTTTAGCAAGAGGAAGAGGACACAACTTTGGATCTTTGGGATCTATAACAACAAGTATTGGAAAGAGAACTCTTATTGGCGAAAGTAAAAATCACAACTCAACAGCTTTTGAGCAGAATAAGCTTGCACATACTAATAATCTTGTTCCCTCTGGTTTCGCTTCGATGGAAGACGATGCTCCCCTTGATCAAGACTCAGAAGCGAAGCAAGGTCTCTTAAGTTATAATTTTTTTTTGTTTCTTATTGAACCAGTATTGGTTTAATGTTTCACATAAATCAAAATTTGCAGAAACAGGAGGAGCTTTGAAGAATGTAAATCTTGCATACATTCAACCTACGTCTTTAGCAAGGGGACGAGGGCAAAGCTTTCGATCTTTGGGCTCTGCAAAAGTAAATGTTGGCACAAAAAATCTGTTTGGAGAGATTAAAAATTACAACTCAGGGGCTTCTAAGCAGAATAAGCTAGCACATAATAGTAATAATCTTATGCCTCCTAGTTTTGATATGATGGAAGAAGATATTCTCTTCAGTCAAGAAGCTGAAATGATGCATGGTCTCAAGTTTTAATTATCTTTTTTGTTTGTTATAAGACTGGAAGTTATTTTATGCTTTACTCAAATTAAAATCTGCAGAAGTTGGAGCTACTTCGAAGAATGTACGAGACATTTGCAGTCAACCTGGTGCTTTAGCAAGGGGACGCGGGCAAAATGTTAGATCTGTGGGCTCGTCAAAAGGAGGAAGCGTTGTAAAGAGAAATCTTGTTGGGGAAAGTAAAAATCACAACTCAACAGTTTGTGAGCAGAATAAGCTAGCACATAATAGTAATAATCTTATGCCTCCTGGTTTTGATATGATGGAAGAAGATATTCCATTCACTCAAGAAGCTCAAATGATGCGGGGTCTCAAGCTTTAATTATTCTTTTTTGTTTGTTATAAGAGTAGAAGTTATTTTATGCTTTACTCTAATCAAAATCTGCAGAAACTATAGCTACTTCGAAGAATGTACGAGACACTTACAATCAACCTGGTGGTTTAGCAAGGGGACGCGGGCAAAACGTTAGATTTGTGGGCTCGGTAAAAGGAATCGTTGGAAAGAGAAATGTTGTTAGGGAAAGTAAAAATCACAACTCAGCAGCTTCTGAGCAGAATAAGCTAGCACATAATAGTAATAATCTTATGCCTCCTAGTTTCGATCCGATGAAAGACGATGTTTCTCTCGCTCAAGAAGATGAAATGATGCAAGGTATCAAGTTTAATATTTTTTTTGTTATAAGATTGGAATTTAATTTATGATAAAAATTAAAATTTGCAGATCTATGTTAATCTGAGAACCCAAAAAAGGTGAGAGGAAAGAATAGGAATAAAGATGTTGCGGTACTCAAATCTGGAGAAAAGTTTAGAGTCAACTTTTACCACAATCGGGTTGTTGGGAAGCATCAAGCCTCATTTTCGAGACACTTGGGTATATTAGTTCGTGATCGTAATATATGTCCATTGCAAGTACATTCATGGAAGGACATCAGAGAAGATAAGCTGGAACACATGTGGCGAGCTGTTACGGTAAGAATCTAAAGCACTATAAAGCAATATTTTAATTGAAAGTACTTGAAATTTTTGTTACCGTTCCAACTCTATTTATGGTCTATATTAGATATGCTGATGGTGGATGGAAATTTTTGTTAAAGTAGTTCTAATCAATGCTAATTCCACAAATGATCTGTTGCATTTTATATTCAATTAGTTTCACTGCATCCCTTGTCAGGATCACTTCTTGAATCTCTAGGTCTAACTTAGACAGTGTATTCTGTGACTATGAAGTGTTATCTAACTAAGATGTTAGTTAGAATTTTAGAAAAACCTCAAATAGATCTTTTTGTATCACCATTGTTGCCCCAGCTTTGAACATAATGAATCCGGGGAATCTTCCAAATTAATGTCCAAACCTGTATCTGCATTTTCCTTGAGTTTGTGAGTAAGCAATTTTTGCATCTTGCATTATCCTGATTTGTGGTGATGAGCTGAAGAAGCCACGTTCATTATATCCTTTGTGTTGTATATGATTAATGCAAATGCATTGTACCAGCTGTAGCACCTTGTGATCCATTGCAGCTGCTCTGTAAAATATGACATCTTTATACCAGCAATTGTGCGCATGAGTGAGTTTGCATAGTTTACTGCAGATCTCTTATGAGTTCGAGCAAAATTCTGAGACCAACTTTGTTCGGTAGCCTTCCTGGTATATGGGGATAATGAATTGCACTGAGATTTTAGTCTAGAATGTACTCATCGATCCCATTTTCGAACACCAAAATCCCATGTCATAGCTGATCATTCAGCACTTGGCAGTAGTTGTTCTTGTTGAATAATTCTTCTGGTGTGAGAGTTAAGCTGCATTTTATTGACACAATGGTATGATGCCCCTTATGTCTTATTGACACAAAGGTATGATGCCCCTAAGTGCAGATGTTTCTCCCTTAAAAATTCCCAAATGGTTCCTACTGTACTAGAAATTATCAAGACAATACAATTTCTAAACTTGTGGACATCAGAAAATGCTAGGATATAAGAATACAATATTCCAAATAAAACAAGTTTGGGCAGGCATGAAGAGAATCTTTACTCACTATTGTTCCTTTGAGCTGAGTGGTAATGTGAGCCCTTTCAGAGTCACTTAGAAGCTTGGACAAACCAAAATCAGCAACTTTTGCGTTTAGGCGTTCATCCAGCAAGATGTTGTTGGACTTGATGTCTTTGTGTATGATATGAGGATTAACAAGGTCATGAAGATACTGCGAACTTCGGGCTGCTCCAAGGGCTATCTTCAGTCTCCCATCCAATCTAACCTTATCCCAATCTTGCCTACAAGTACAAATCCAATTACATTTTCCAGAGGCACATTCCCCTTTTGGCAAATTTCTAATGATCCAATTTTAAAGAATCAATAAGAAGGAAAAATCTAAGGTGCTAGTCAAGGAGCATGTTTCTTATTCTCTAGATAAAACTCTATAGGAAGCAAAACTGTTGGAGATTTTAGTGTTCCTTGCCCTAATTACATGTTCCAGATCTCATGGAAAATGGTTCAGCACTTCCACTCCTAATTTTAAATATTGGTTTTTTGTTAATGACACCATCCGTAGTATTTTGCAATAACTAATCGTAATAACTTCTTGGACTTCCCATAATGTAGGTAACAGGTAGTATAGCAAGCACCTCTATAGTCTTCTCACAATAATGTTGTTAGTGAATTATTACACATATTGTAATATTTTGTTGTAAAGCTGCAGCCTTTAGTGTAGGTTTTTTTGTATATCTCTTAGTCTGTAAGGTCACATTTAATGTCAAAACTTCTACTTGATTACATTTGTTAAGTGACTAACATGAAGGCTCTCCATAGTTTCTCAATGTGTACCTAGCACAGTAACACCTGCTTCTACATTACCCTTCTGCATGGGGTATTTGGGTGTGGAGGGAAATTAGTTTGATTCTCTGCGTATGATTTGATTATAAGTTACTGCTTCAAATAATGTTGTGACTTATGAGGGTTAGTGAATTATTACAGATATTGTAATGTTATGTTGTAAAGCTGCAGCCTTTATTGCAAGTTTTTTGTGTATCTCTTAGTCTGGAAGGTCACATTCAATGTCAAAACTTCTACTTGATTACATTTGTTAAGTGACTAACATGAAGACTCTCCATAGTTTCTCAATGTGTACCTAGCACAGTGACACCTGCTTCTACATTACCCTTCTGCACGGGGTATTTGGGTGTGGAGGGGAATTAGTTTGATTCTTTGCATAGGATTTGATTATAAGTTACTGCTTCAAATAATGTTATGACTTATAAGGGTTAGGCTAAAAAGGGAAGAGAATGCTACATTTGATTACTTGGGACATATTTGTTATTTCTTCTTGAAATCCAAGAATTTGCATACTGGAAGCTAGGTTTATAGCACTGTAAAGTACTAGAGCTTATTGGCTGTTGACTTTTCTGTTGCCTCTTATAGAATGTTTGATCACAATAAGTCATTTTTTGTATATATTATTGGCGTGTAGTTTCTAAGGCATGTTGCTGCTCTGAAGTCTCTAAGCTCTACGTAATTTAGAAAATGCTTTACTTATGAATCTTTGTGAATGCTGAAGATCCTAGGTCTTAAGCAATGTAACTGAAAATAGACACATTTTGTTTGAAACAGTAAAAACTATCTTTAGTTTACATGAATTTTTTACTTTCTTGATTAATGATTTTGCAAAATATCTAGGACAAATTTGACAGTGATGACATGAATCATCAAAGAGATCATGTGTTAAATCATATGAGAAAGTTATGGACCAAGTAGAGAGGATCATTGCATAAGTATGAGAAGTTTAAGCCATTGCATGAAGCACTAAAAGATGTCCTGGATGAGGTAGACAAGAGTGATTGGGAATGGTTGGTCAGGAACATTTTTTAAGTGAAAAATTTAAGGTAAGACTTCATAACTACTTTTAACTTCTTATTATTGTAAGTAACTTTTTATTATTGTAAGTAATATCTCATGATTTCAATGGTTTGTTCTTAATATAGGAAACAAGTATTAGAAACTCGATCAATAGGTCTAAGTTGAGAATGCCTCATCGTATGGGTAGCAAGCCGATTAGAGAAATTATTTACGAATTGGTAAGTGCACAGTGCAATCCTATAAAATAAATCTCGTCTTTGTTTGACTTGTTTATTTAAATGTGACGGGAGGCAAAGATGGTAATCCACCGAACATGGTGACTATCTTCTTTGAGACTCACAAGAAAAATGATACGCTTGTAGAACCTGAAGCTGGTGAAAAATATGTATGTTTATTGATGAACTTCATTTTACATCCTTCATTTTATTTTGATGTATTATATTATTTTAATTTTTCTTATATTTTATAGGCTGAGATATAAGAACTGGTACAGTCTGAGCCATCTCTTACGAATATTGAGGTAGTAGAAAGATGCTTCGGACCTCAAAACAAGAGTCACGTGGTTGGATTAGGGGGTGGTATAACCACTAAGAAGTTAAAAGGCGGTAGCTCCTCAAAGGCTGCAATACTGACTGAGCTGAATGCAGTTCGAAAAGAAAAAAAATCACAACAGACCGAGCTAAATGCAACTAAAAAAGCAAAAGAATCACCAGAAATAATGTACTGACCTTGACATATGTACAATTACTCTAATATTGAAATCTAATTAGATATGTGCATCTCAGATTCATTGTTTGAACGTATAACATTATTTGAGATTTGAGGTCCAGATCTGTTTTCCGTTGCTTGCACGGATAGCCAAATACTTTTTGCAAAATGTTGATCAATGTGCAGGTTAGTGACAATGAAATAGTTAAACATCTGGGTGGCACTGATGTGCAGGGTGAAAGGGTACTTAGAAATTAAAGTTTTTTTGAGAAACTACACCAGAAAATAGGCAATAACAAGAAAACAAGGAGGAAAATTATGAAACGCACTTTGCGGAGAGGTAAAGGAAGGGTGTATGAAGTTATGAAATCATGTGATACTTTACAGAAAGTAAACGTCAAGCCACCAACCTGACTAAAGTAGTCATCCAAAAATATTATAGCATGATCGTCATGTCCAGTACTTTATTTGAAAGTACGTATAACTCTTTCCCTCCTAAGTGACTGTGACATAGATACTCAAAACATCTCATTAGCTGTTATAGTTAGGTGCAATGCAGACAAATGAGAGACTGCAAAATACATAAGAGAAAAATGCAAAAGATAACTCCAGAAGGTTTTAATTGAAAAGTAATTGGTCATCAAAACTCAAAACGAGGTCTACAAGCTATTCATGACAGACTCAATAACCAGTAAAAATTGTTGCACCCACAAGATGCAATTATAACAAATTCATTGGAACACATTTTGTGCAAAAATAATCTTACTTAAGGCAGAGATGACTTAAAGAGCAAACTCATGAAACTCCCTTCGTTGAGATTTTAATGTCATTTCTATTGGCTTTCCATTCCTGCTGCTCCATTTTTCCTCCCAGTAGTTCTTGCATATGTAAGAAAGAATAGTTCTGCGCTACATACTGTTGAGTAAGTTTACCGTACAACAACGAAACAGTACACTATATTTGCGATCATTTTTGTGTGTCATCTCTCTGCTTCCCCTTGAAACCTTTGCCTGTATTCCATATTGGTTTGGTGTAATAGCATGTTGCATTGGTATTTATTCCACTTTGTATCCAATGTGCTAATATTATATTGTCAAATACTGTATAGCAAGTTTTCTGCCCAACATTGTTCAGTGGTGATGCTTAGCCAAGCAGAGTAACAGATACAGAACTGACTATCCAAATTGAGTTCATTAAATGCTAGTGTAACTCTCCCCATACTGTAATACAAGAACTGGTATAATCTGATAAAGCTTAATATTCAGGAGTCATTTTATTGGGTTGGAGGGG